TATTAAAGTTGGGTCTCTTAGTTTTAGAATGTTAAAAAAGTTAAAAAAAGATATTGGGAATCTAAACAAAAAATTTTTAATAAACATTATGGATATTACGATATCAATAATATTGGACATAAAAATAAACGCAATTAAGTTAAAAAGAAAACCTTCCTGAGTCGAAGCGCGGAAAATAACAATTAATCGCCGCTAAATCTACATATTTTTCTTTGGTTCATATGGTTTCTCCAGACTACAAAGAGGAAGCCCGTTTACAAATCTACAAAAAGACAATTGAAGATAACGCGCTTATATCCACAACTGAATCTACCAAATAAAAAACGGACGAAGGTGCAGGTATATAAATAGTTTAAGGGGATATATAGAGAAACCACTCAACTCCAAAAGTTTTTTTTTCACTTTCACCAGATGGTAATATGCCGACACAATGCCAAAGATAGCGCCTATACAAATACTAGAATATGACGCTTTGGTGCGTAATTCCTTTAAGCGAATGGTTCACAAAGTTTGCCGGTGTCCCCTCCATGACATCGCCAAAATTGAACAAAGGGTATTTTCATCGGAAAATTCCAAATATAGTAACATTCCCAAACTTTGCTACATTACAATACTGTAACTTACCCTTTATCAACTACACGGGGAGGAACTGGAATTAGAGACGGAAACAGTATAAACCTTATTCGGGTATACAGCGTGAACACAAGTTCTGGAAGGAGTTCCCAGTATTACGTCATAAAAGGTCGTTTTCGAACTGCGGTCAATTTTTGCTGAAGCGGTTTTCAAAAATGCATATGTAGAGAAATAAGTCGACCTTGAACAAATACCTCAAAATTTCTGAAAAAGTATATGGGGTTGAATCCACCAGAAAATAAAATTTTCTTGAAAGAGAAATAAAAGTTTATACTAACATTACTATACATATTAAAATAATCATTTGTAAATTGAAGATATTATATGTAGTATCATATTATTACAACACAGCTGTAAGATCGTGTCCCAAAACAAATTGTTAGACTAATCTGACATCGATAGCGCACACAAGATAGAACATGGCGATATAAGATTAAAGTGTGAATAAATTTAAACATTTGCGAGTATATAGTTGTTGGTTATAAGACCCATCTATTTTTTAGGATCCTAAAAAGAAGTCCCTCTTCAAGTAGGCGTAAGCTAGTTTTAAAAGTCATTTGCAAACATCAAAAATGGCTCGATTCAAAGCAGCGTCAACTGGGATTTTGTCTGATAGCAGCGCCCCATGAGGCCATAATACATTGCTGCGAACATTTATGATTTTGTTCATAAATCATAGATTTTGTGTTTTAATCTAAACAATCCAAACGGAATTTAGTGTAACTTTGATCCTTACTATACCTTTTACATTTTTTGAAAATGTTACACAATTTTTGGTCTATTTAAACTCTCACATACCTCTCATAACATGTATAATATTGTAAAGGTTTTCTCATGTTGGACTTGGTAATATAGGACTTAGATAATATAATCTTGCTGATAATCTGAAACACGTAGACAAATTGTTCAAAAGACTTCACAAAACGCAAGGCGTCATATGACGGTTTCCCAGTGTTGACTTGGGTCGCTCTGGGTATATAGCACACCAAAACTTGGAAAAGGTCAAAAAATGGTTAATCAGCAGCTGTCAAGACAGTTGGCGTCCTTCCTCTTTACGATATTGAATGGCAAAACATCCATACCTGTTACATATAATTTACATCTCCTGCTCGAAGTTGGTGTGATTCGAAATGTAAAAGACCTTGTTACCGCGACATTAACGATGGTCGACGTGAAAGGGTTTGTGGCTGTTCTAAGTGAGTGCTGCTTCGAACAAAAATATCATGGCATGTACAGACGTAGTATGGTAATTAATACTTCGATAAACGTGTAAAAACAGTATACGCCATTCATACCACTGGAGGGACTATTGAGTAATTTCCGTTTTAGCTGGTTTGTCAGTCTGCCGACAGGGTGGAATTCCCTTATGTATTAGGCTATTAGTATACTGTTTTATTGCCCTAACCCAGTCGTAAATGATTATAGCACTACATGTTGACTGTTTTACTAGTTTTGCATGGTTTTGTTCACTAGTTATCTTATATATATAACGTTTCTGTAACTAGTCTACTCTCGCAGTTAATTTCTTGTGTGATTTTCGTATTTCTATGCGTACTGTCATGTATATTAGATGTTTGTCGACATGATAGTATTTGTGTTGTATATTCATTGTATATTCATTGTATATTCACTAGTTATTTCTTTTTTTATTTTAAGTATGTTTTATCCAGTTTTCGGGTCATTTTTTCATGATTGTGACGTGATGTAACATGAATGCCGTATCTCCCTGCCGTGGTATTAGTACTCTTCATTGGAGTATTTGGTTGTATTAAATTCTTACAGGTGTATGATTGATATAGTTGATACCGATACAGGTACACCACAAAATTTTTTAGTTTACAACAGTGATTTTCGACCTTTTTGGTGACGCGGAACCCAAACTATACATTCCAGTGGCTCGAGAAACTCCCGTGGCTTTGATTGTTTTACGCAAAAAACACCATTGGGTAATGAAATGATCTGAGTTATATATATATAAAAGCAAATCTAATCCCGGAAATGTTAATCTAATAATGGCAAAGAAAATATGGGCTTGATCTATATTTAAACGATATACATATCATAATATATATTAACTTTAGAAATCAAATGTAGATTTAAATTAAATTTAAACTTCTAGACTGGACTGACGGAACGACTAGAATATTCTTTAAAGCAGGGCTTCCCAAACTTTTGAGCTCGCGGCCCCTCTTAATATATTAAAATTTTTCGCGGCCCTTGTTCACGTTAATAATGTTAAACAGTTCGAAATATGCATTTTTGCTATTTTATTGACACAGCTACCGTAATTCTCAACTTTTAGTAGGCCTACTCAATAACAAAAACGAGTACATATTCATTCAGAATAACGTTACTAAATTATTCAGTGTAATGGGTGCGAATGCTTTTTGGGGCATAGCAATTCCAGCCGGCATGGTTCTTATCCGGAATTGTTACTCACTCTTATTGATCAAAATCAAAATATGCGACGCCAAGTTATCAGGGAAAAAACTCGCGGCTCACTTACACGAAGATATGCTGCCTCAAAATAAAACACAATTTTGTCATCATTACTGTGTACCTCATGCTTTTTGAGGTTTATAATCATGTAGGCCAAATAAATAAAGGCAAAAGGTTTAACTTCTATTTCTTTATGTTCGATAATCTCGGTTCAACTGCAGCCTGTATGGTTTATCTCTTCTGTTACGTAACAATAGACTCTACGTAACAGAAAGTGAATAACAACATAGAACGGTAAATTGAATTTGATTTATATACAGATCATTTGCAATAATGGGAAACAATAAAACATTCAGAATAGATAAAATATTCAATCATATATTAGTTAATATTTAACACAATTATCCTGATTTTCGAGGCGCAATTAGCGAATCGCCCTCGGGAACCGCTAGCTTAACGAATAAAGCCGGCATCGTTATGCAAGCACGCCAAATCGGGTCTTATGATCAGAATATTCATTGTTACGCAAGCGCGCTGACTCTACCATGTTTCCCCAAAAATAAGACCAAGCCTGAATTTTAAAAATGATTAAAATATAAGCCAACCCCCCCTTCTTAAAAAAAGACTTAGTCGATAGCGCAATTTTTTTGACCTAGTCTCGTGGTTCTCAATGTGCGCCGTTTCAGTTTTGCTAGACACTAAATCGATCTCACCTGTAATGGTGTTGATAAAGATTATTTTTCCCTGGTTCAAAAAGCGTTGCGCACTTCCATTCCTCTTGCGATTTTGTATTTATAAAAAACAGGCTTTTCTACCAGGGCCCATTAAATGTGATTTTACTGACTGTTGTTAGATTTTGTTTGTTCGTTTATAATTAACTCGTTGCAAATAAGGGCTTTTATTGAAAGGTATCAATACGTATTTTCACGGGGAGCCGCAACTTTTTTGGAGGGCGTCACAATACAATGAAGTTTCGTAACCACTGAGTCCAAGTCGATAGCAAAAAATCTTTTCTACTTTTCGAATGGTTAATATTCTTTATGTAGCAGTTTTTAAATAAAAACGTGCTTTTTAGAGGTAAAAGGAAATTGGTAGTCACATTTGGTATATTAAAAAATCTTAATTATTTTCTACATTCCCCACAAATAAGCCTTAGTGTTATTTTCCAAAGAAAACTGAAGACATTGTCTTATTTTTGGGGAAACACGATATGATGATGTATGTATTCACTCATAATCGTGAAATTTTTGTTTTACACCATTTTAAATAATTGTATTTCAAATCAATAGTCTGAAAATGTACAACAAATATAGTACTTTGTGTGAAATTGGTGTTCTCTTTGCGGCCCCCAAAATTCGTTTCGCGGCCCTTTCGAGGGCCGCGGCCCCTAGTTTAGGAAGCCCTGCTTTAAAGTACAATAATCAAGGTTAAAAATGTCCTATGAATCAGATACAAAATAATATAATAAAAATGAATTCCTGAAAATAATCCTCATTGGAAAACTGGTGAAAAGAGTGCATTTTTGGGGGCTCCCGAAGTATGCGAACCAATATGGCGTACCTCGGAATGTAATATGTGTACTAGGTTAGGGTTAGGCCATAATTTTAGGTATAAATACTACGGGAGGCTCTTGGCTAGTCTTCGAACTGATATTAGGACTCAAATAAGAAAAATTGGAAAAAAATTATCGCCTAACCCTAACCTGTTACCCATGTTACGTTCCGATGTCCGCCATCTTGGTTCGCATACTTCGGGAGCACCCATTTTTGTTTGAAAGACTGCAACAACATGAAAACAGATTATCAAAATTATACATAGTTTTATTCAAAAGCATATTGTTTGTCGTGAACAAAAATCAAATCAAAAATGCATACATAACAAGTAACAACATATGAATAATTATGTTGAAGTGAAGATTAGTTTTTTTTTTACCTTAAATCTACCGACTCTGACACATAATCGAGGTAATTGAGTAAAATTTGTACTTTCATAATATTCACTCCTAGACCGTGATGTGTTCCATCATAACTATGAACTCCTGATGTAAGGCTGGAAAAATCAAGTACAGGAATATTATGAGCATCGCAATATACCTTCATTTCTCGGGAAAATTTTTTACAAACTACATCGCCGCTTGCTGCATGATATGCTTTTGGTTTTAATATTCCGTTGGAGTCAGGATACATAAAAATGATATGTGGCCATCGATAAATGTTATTAAATTTATTCGAGTGTTTTGCAGTCGTGTTGTCAAACTTTTTGTAGAAATCATCCAAATGTTGAATCACGGGACTCAGAAATGTTTTCATAGTCACTTCAGATTTGCATCCATCGTGTCCACCCTGACCAACCAGCAAAACTGAACCAACTTTTCCTGTTAAACTTTTTACTAAATTTAAAAACCTGTTTGCAGACTCATGGTTGTAATATCCATTGATGTTAACAAGTGGTGTATCTTTTCCACAAAAAGGAGTTTTATTCACGAGATTTTTGAGTATCTCCCCTTCGCCAAGTGAACATTCTGTCCAATAAAACTGGTCAACACCAACACATAGTTTGGTTAATTTTTCATCGTACCGTGTCACTAAACAACCATTCATCAGATCGGATCTTAATGTCAAAACAAAACCTCGTGCCATTTTCCCCACAAAAGAATCACCAACAAAATATATTTGAGAGAATCGATTGACAACTTTACAAGCTTGTGCTGCTGTATAGTTTCGTCGTCGACATGCAGAGTCAAATGGAATCCAATCACTTATTTCAGCGTGATATATCTTTCTGGTGTCAACGCAGCTAAAATTGCAAATACGGCAGTAATGAACCATTTGAATATCGCGTGTTCTAAATAATCATTCTTGGAGAAGGAAATGCATGAATGTCAAACAACTACGTCAAAAGCCTAAATTTGGATGGAATTGTGATATTTTCAACTCCGCCATTCTCCCATACTTCTTAATTTCACAAACCAATATTAAGTTTTTGATCAATTTAAATGTAGAGTTAGAGAAATGTGCGATACACTGCAGTCAGGCATTTACTAGCCAATGCGACGTCAATTTTTTTGTCCTTACGAATTACGTCATTTTGTAACTAAAGCAGTGGGTCTTAAACTTTCATGATATGTGGCCTCCTTCCCAAGACTTTAAACCGGGGATGTGCACTGTGCAGCATTTTTGTCAGTGGATCATATACCAAACTTCAGACATCTAGCTAGGCCACAAAAAAATTTTAGCGGGAAAGGCAAGAAAAGAGAATGCGGCATTCGTTTAGTCTTACAGTAATAAATTCACCGGGCAAAAGAGCAAAATAACACCATGTGTTTTTATCCACGTGAGCGCCTTTTCAAACATAAAACTGTAGGATTAGAATTTTATGCTTGAATGGGGTAGTCCTGGCCAGTCGGGTTGTGTTGTGACCCGTGGGCCGCATGTTGCACGCCACTGCTCTAAACTCTTGTGGTTCACTAATTTTCTATAAAAAGGCTCGTAACCATTGGTGGGATTCAGCCGGTTCGCACCGGTTCTATAGAACCGTCTCACGGAATTTTATGAGATCAGCGAACCGGTTAGCAATACTGGTTAATGTTCTGTTTGTAACAAAACCGGCTGAAAAATATGACTTTTGTGAAGGAACCGGCTGACGAAAAATTTGAATCCCACCACTGCTCGTAACCCAAGTGAACCTCTCCCCTTTTGATATCACCATGTCTAAACATAGCTCAATATTATTATTGTTTAAAATGAGAGTGAGAAAAGAGAGTACCCACTTAGGACAGTCACAAATGCTTCCACATTGGCCATCATCAATGTCACTGCAGCAAGGTTTATTACTTTTCGAATCACACCAACTTCCAGCTGGAGCTGCCCAAGCATTCCCTCTCGGCTTTGTCTGCACGCTGTAAATTGTATGTAACGGTAAGTCATTAGTGCTGTAAATTGTATGTAATGAAGGTCGTTCACTGACTTAATAGCTTTATAACAAGTTTTTTTTAGCTATATTTTGAATTTTGGTGTGCTATGTCCAGAACCGACGCATCCCAGGTTTTGACAGCAGGTCAGAAATGATGTGCCGTTTTGTGACACCGTGTGTTTAGTCAAGTCTTTTGAATTGTTTGCTTCGGGTTCCAAATTATCAACAAGATCAATATCATAGGTCTGACATGAGAAAATTTTTACACTATATCATGCATCTTATGAGAGACCTGTTAGAGTTTAAATGGGTCGAAAATTTGTTAACAAAATCATGAATATTCATAAAATCGTATTACAGCCATGTAGGCCGTTAGCAGTCCATAGCTAGCATTCCATTTAGGTCGGATAAAAAAAAAACATCAATGTAAACCTGGGAAACAAATTGAGTGGGTTTGGTAACGTGATATACATATACAGCCTACCAACTATACATATACATCGATTTTTAGTGATGTACATACACAGCCATGTCATATGCATACATAGACAAATCAATATACAAACGTGCCCAGTCAGTCAATTCAGTGTACATATACAACCATTCAAGTAAGGTATATACATATACAGAAAATGTCATATGCATATACAGACAACATAATATGTATATTAGCCTGTGAAGTGTATACACACACACAGTAAATAGCATATGCTTATATTGGCAACTCAATATACATATACACACCATTCAAGTGATACACATACAAAATCAAATCAATTTTTTTTTCGCGACCACAATTTTCATAAAACACTAGTTTAAACACTACAGATACTCGCGACACAACAACCAAAAACGTTCAGCATCTTCAAAAACCAATATATACAATTTAATTTTCTCAATGGGGACAATGTGTCTGTACATCAGGGGTCTCTAACTCAAACCATGTCGCGGGCCACTTTTTGAAATTTATTGACCACGCGGGTCGCAAACCAAGAAATTAGGTACAAAAATGAGTATCTGAATGTATCGTGTTAAAATTACACTTGAATCGTACAGCAAACGAGACATAAAACATCATCATTTACTTGTGCCCGCATGTTGGAGACCCCTGCTGTACATGGACTGCATGTGGACGTTGACAGTGAGCATTAGCCAAAATACGAATGAATCCGAGTAAGATTGCTTCTAATAATATGTAAATTTAAATATTTATTTGGTTTATTTCAACAGTGTCTTTTATTTTTTTTTATTTTTAGTTCAATGTTAACATTTTACAGATTGATCCATTATCAATTCGAAATTTAAACAGGGCATTGAAGTAAAATAGCAAAAAGCGAGTACGGGATCACATCCTATTGTGTGACTTTTATTATGCTAGAATTTATTGTTGTTTTGTGTTTGACTGTTTGGAACGATTCAAAATTAGGTTCTAATCCGTGATGTCATAATGCCCCACAACCGCTGGTCGATCAAAGACATGTAGAGAATGCGATGGTGACAACAACGACATTAACGTCCTCTCTTCATTGAACTAATATTTAGCCACTGGCAATAAACCACGTAAAATTTTGTTCAATTAAAGAATATTCAGGCCTACTTGTTAAATCCACACTTGTAATCATCTCTCCACAGTCGTGTATGTATTCCTCGATTAATACGAAATTCAGTCAAAAAATAATCCAATTCTCTTTCTTCTTTCAATAATTTCTTATATTCTATCTCATTTTTATTAAAACTATCAATCTTTTTCACCCACTGACCATTGCTCAAATTATACAAGATGTTTTCACAAAATGGGTTACGATATCTCAATTCGTTCAATGTTGCGTGAAGATTGCTGTTGTAACTTTGGTGAAGCGATACGTGAATTTCAGGATTACCAGGACACTTATAAGATGCGTATATAACAAGTAATACGATACAGAATGCACATATTCCTATATAAACAGGGCTATTTGAAGTAGTACGCATTGTATAGCCTAAAGTAATAAAAGCAGTTAAAGACTTCCCACGAAACTGTTTTGCTTCTCTTTCATATCATCAAAAAAATACTTATTTATTATTTAAACTTGAATACTAGGAATTGGTAATATAATTAAAACAACATCGAATCAAAACTTGATACTATTCCAGGTTGAGCACGACTACGGAAATGTTCACAGCATTCCAGCAATCCTATTCTTTGTCTTATGTGGAGGGGCATATATATACACGTTTAGAGAAACGGTTGATTTCAAATCGGTGAATAGCCGAAACTGACCTATTCAACACGATGCCTATTATCTTTGTCATTAATAAGAGTGTCTTTACAGTCATTGTCCTAATTATACCAGATCGATCACTGTCCATACATAATACATTCTAGCGTCACCCATTGTTTTTCAAAGTGAATTGAGCTTGCTACTATTTTTCGAATCATGAGAGTCTTTATCGCAATAACCTTCGACGATAGCTTGATATTACAGTTTCATGTCAAAAACAATATTTTGGATTTTATTGAGATCGAAAATTAACTTATTGTACAGAAAGTAGGCTACAACAAGTTATATGGCGCCTATTGACCACTGTTTGAATATTTTCGCAATGTACTAAAGAATGGGTCTCTTTTGTTTGGCATAACAGACAAATGAACAGACCATCATACAAATCGTGGATTGCTTGATTACCTGTTTTGTTCTAACATTCAATTCCAGAATTAACTACGTTTCTAAACTGATTTCCATTAATTTTGTTCTTTCTTTCTTCTGCTCATTGACAACAAATCAATAACAAACTATTGTTGTTCACTTTCAAGTTTTACTCATATAATGTAATTCCGACTTCGATCTCGGGAAGACTAATATTGCTTCAATATTATGGCACTTGTTTTTAAAAATTGTTCTATAGATAATATGACTATCTCACTCGATTGGACGAACGGTTAGGCGACTCTAGAATTGAAGCATATCACTTCCCAGTTCATTTATGCGCTACTCAAATAGAAGAAAAAGTCGATCAGCCTTTAAAAAATTTTTTTGACTTGGATATTTTAAACCTTTTTAGATTATAAATCATGAAACAAATTGCTGTTATTAACTGGAGTTTTTACAATACACAGATCTTATTAGGGCCGACTTAATCGAATATTTCATACTTTGACTTCGTGAAAGTGCATTTCTAACTTTAGGCAACATGATGGCTGTTGTGCAAAAAAGCCAAGTCAAGTCGAGTAAACTTCTTTTTCCACAAATCAAATGAGCATATACAAATTTTGAAAAAAAAATGACAATCACACAGTTTTACTGAGAAAGCATAATTGTACCGAATAACGAACGGGAATCGAGATAATTTAACTATTTCGTTTTGAGCCAATGCCTTTCATTTAATGTGACCGAAAGTTGCATATATATATTTGTTTATGTATAAAATATAATTTAATAGGTGCAGTTTCTTGCTGAATTCACCTTGTCTCTATTTTTACTACAAGTGTTTATAATGTGTTTTATATAGTTCTTAGGGGACAAATGAAGAAGACAAGAATGTTTTATGAATTGAAGAAGTATTCTAGAATGCTCTTCGAGGTTATACTATGAAATAATTTTGACTCCAGAAAGTCGGAAAATTTTTAAAATCCAACGTCCAGATAGATCTTTTGCTTCAGTTAAGCTCGCCAATACATAAACGAAGCGTATGTATCACACCGTATTTATAATTTGTTTCGATGAAAAAGCCGCGAAAAAATGTTTATCTCCATTTTTCGAAATGGGTAAGAGCATAGTAACTGTGCACGGTGGTAACGTCAGTTCCTAGTGAACGCGTTTTACACTCAAGTAGTGCCGGATTGGCAAATTCGGGTAAATCTGCAGCACGTCGAAATATTATTGTTTTTGAATTGCAATGTTAAATATCTATAAGATAATACATTATTTTTATCCCGGGGAAACAAAAGCCGATAAAGTGGCTTTATCATATGGCACACCGTAGCCTCTTGCCCCATGACCGGTCCATGTCGAGTATGAGATTAGTTAGCCAGGTATTTGTTTCAGATGCATAGACTTGATGGTGGGAAAAGCCGTAACGTCGATGACGAAATTAATACTAAAAAGTTCATGGCTCACACACTTTGAACACGATTGCTGTCCGCAATCCCGTATTGAAAAGCTTTAAAAACTTACTTATCGATCTTGATCGGTAAGTATGTAGGTATTTGTCTGTTTGTCTGTTATATACACGCGATATCTCACGGAAGCGTAGCCCCAAGGTTTATCCCATGGAACCTGAAACACATGAAGAATATGTGACCCAAATAGACAGCTGTTATCCCAGCGACTATCCTTTCAAACCTGTTAGTAACGAATCATTAGATATGACAACAACACAAATCGTTAGTTAACTAACTCACCTATGTTAATTTATATAATAATAATTGCGTTGTCATTTTCGTATAAATTGAAAAAAAAATCCAAAAAATGTTTTCCCCTTGTTTCATTATGTTTATTCATTTTAATTATTTGTTTCAACTAGTCTTTACTATTAATTCACTTTTTCTATGATTTTTATGTTCTTTTATCTGCTTTCTGTATCCTACATGGACATCAAGATGCTTGTGAATCCATTTATAATATTAAATTCATAATACATTTATAATACTGTATTTATAATTGAATTATAACCATAGAATAAAACATAAACGTGGTAAAGTGGAATAACAGGAGAAAATTTTTGTCTCACTTTTTACAGTTTGTCGGACCGTCCTCTTGATGATAAATTACACGATGAAACTTACTAATGGTTGACATCGTACTATTTTAGTTTTTTGCAGGAAAATCCCAAACAGGACGCTGTGATTGCATATTTAGTTTTATGCATTGGTTCCATAGCGAGACACGGAATCAATCTTGGTATAAACTTTGCAATATTGAACAAAACCCATAACAGATTTCACTTTTCTGGCATCTCCTGGTTGTCGTGCATCTCTTACTGCCACCACCTTTTCTCAGCAAGGATGAATACCTTGACCTGTGAGTTTATGACCAAAAAATTTAATTTTGGGAAGTCGAAATTGACATATCATAACGTCAGCGTTAGACCGGCTTTGTCCAACTTATCATGCAAGAACATCAAATAATCTTTCATCATGTTCCTTCACATTCCGCCCATAAATATTGATATCGTCCGCTATGTTTGCGACACCTCGACAGTTCTTCACAACGTCCCTGATTATTTGCTGATACTTTTCTGGTGCAGATGATAAACCAAACATAAGTATTTTGTATCTAAAAATTTCATTATGAGTTGCGAACGTTGTGATATATCGGAATTTCTCATCAAGCAATATTCGATGAAACCCCCATTTCAGAACTACCTTCGAAAACACACGGCGCCTCCGCTCAAGTCGTGGAGTAGGAGTTCAATAGTTGGTATAGGTTGCCTTTCTCGGATTATGGCTTGGTTAGCTCGGCGCATGTCAACACAAAACCTAATATCTCCATCCGTTTTATGGTCTACAGCAGGGTCGGCCAACCTTTTTAGTCGAAGGGCCACATGTAGTTCACTAATAACTGCACGTGCGACTTAACATGATGGGTCTGTTCTAGTTTTGCTACACTGACTACAGGCTAATGAACAGACAAAGAATACCCTCACACCAAACTTTCACAATTATTAGAATAATGAAACTGTTGTTTCCAAACCATTGATGGGGCGCCATCAGTGGTTATTCCCGAAAGTTTCGCCAAAGACAAGTCAAAACGCTTGATCATTTTTATCATAGCTCCCAACAAATCAATGCCTCCAGTCGTGCCCCTTAATAGAGACAATGGCTGCGAGCCCTTTTCGAGTAATTTTCAAATCATCATTAATTCCCCGCAAGACGATCTCCAAGTTGCCATTTGAGCAGTAAACTTGATATCAGTGCTTTCACCAAGCGCCAAGGAATACGATGAAAATTTTCCCGCTTTTGCAATTAAAGTTTCTGCTATAGATTTCCCAGGCTCTTCAACACGACGAGCTATGGTCTGTCTTGACAGGCTATTTTTGCAAAAACCTTTTTTATTTCCGGACGTAAAACATTGACAACCCGAACAATACATAATATACATTCCTGCGATTGTTTTGCGATAACATCATATAGAGTAGTAAAAGACGAAGAGTGTAAGCGACTATGGCACTTTCATGTATCGATATCTCCTCCCAGTTGGTTTCGATTCAAAATGACACTCATGGCTCGTTTGAAAGGGCTGGCAGAGCGCAATTCAGGAAAATAAACAAATCGTTTGTATCACATCTTTACTCAATTTTTTTATACAATTCTGAAAAATACAGCGCGGGGCACTCTAAATGCTCCCGCGGGCCACGGTTGGACGACCCTGGTCTACAGTTAAAGGCGAAATCCAAGTACCTGACCCTCCAGGCGTTTTTCAACTTATGTCTGATTTCATCTATTTTTGCATCTATTTTGTCTCGCAACCTACTTGGTATACGGCGCAGAGGTTGCGCAATTGGTTTAACAGTTTTGTCAACATTCAAAGTCAATTTGTAATATTTTAAAAGGCCAATTCCTTCAAAAAATTTGCCATACTTGGAAAATATATCAGAATTTGAAGTATCAAGAGTTTTGGAACTCACTGCTTTCACGGGCCCCACTCTTAATACATTAAGTTTTATTGCAGCTTCTTTTCCTAACAAAATTTGACAATTACCTTTGACAACAACAAAATCAGTCCGACATTTACTTTCACTATTTGGAACGTAAACATTAGCAGTAAATGTACCCAAAACTTGGTGGTTTAGTACTTCCATAAGCGTAAAGTGATGGTATCGAGCATTTTCTCGAACCACACACAATTCTTTCGCTCTTCAGCCATTCCCAAGTATTGTTTCCCATAAAATTTTACAAGCTCCCAAATCAATTATTACATCCGACAAAATAACTCCTCCCACATTTAACCTTATTTATTCCATCATGGTAGGAATTTTGATGTCACGGTGAATGTATACTCACTATTTTCGTCATTCGAACAATCAACAGAATTCGTATCATTCCTTATCACCGCTTATCGTTTCTATTTATTCCCAGTTGCAGGTTTACCTCAAAATTTATCACATCGAACTTTGAAATGTGCCATTCTTCCGCATTTTGTACATCGTTTAGCTTCTGCGAGGCACATCTTATCTCTAGAAAAATGTCCGATTCGGCTACAAGAGTAACATTCCCTTTCCTTCCCTGTAACAAGAGTATAACGGCTTGGGTTATTCATTAATTTCACCTGGTGCAATTCTGCGCCAGTTTCAATTGCTTCTGCTTGATGATCGACAGCTTCCATTGCCTTTGCAATTTTCAACAAATCATTCTATTCGAGATTTTCCTTTTCGAGAAATCTGCGTCGCATGGAATTGGAAGCATTGATAATTTACTTATTCGCCCAAACTTCCTTTTTGTAGATATCACCTTCAAAAAGACGTTGTTCAATGTTACTTTCACGTGAATGCACGAACAGGACTAATTAGAATTGATTTTACAGGTGATACGTTCGCTAACAATGTTAGCGGTAAACAACGAAACAAACAAAATAACGAATCCACCTGCAGTAAGAAGGCTAGCGTTGCGCACCCAGCAACAACAGTAACGAGGACATCGTCACGCTAATAACCGAATTGCGCAAGTCATTTTTAGCAGTTTCGAGAAAAACTTCCTGATGATATTGTTACGCCATTGAGAGTCAATAATTTGCCATGGTTCAATTTTTTGATCGTAGCCGGATTTAAGTTAATTTGTATGACGCAGATAAGTGACGTCATAATGGCGCACTGTGACTTGAGCAGAAATGTGTCTATGACTTGGGGACATACGCAATTTTGCAACTTCACAATATGCACCAGTCCTGAACACTAAACATTCCAGAAACGAATGTAATTCTCAGTATCTACAATGTCTAATCCCCAAAAAAGCTAATCAGTTTCAATTACATTATTTTTTATGTTTAAAAATATATATTTCATCATTTTAACACGTTCTGCACACCCACCGGAATAGGACTAAGATTAAATATAAAGAATAAAACAGCAATGCACCCAATATGAAAGCCAACCAAGGTGAATTGCACTCGGACAGTGAATATCACAAGTGCACGTCTTCTTATACTGAGAATCCGAGATGCAAAAACTCGAAAGTACGTCGCCGAGGTTATTTTGCCTTTGTGACGTCACAATAGACCTGCGGCAACAATGATAATTTATTATGATGAAACAATTGCCAAAATGTGCATGTCATTCTAAACTCCATTTTTATGGGTTTCGGAATTCTGAAAATAAAATAAGAGTCAACAGACAGGTGCACAGATATGATCCGAGATATGATGGATGCACGATCAAAATTTGGAGCAGAATCATCCTCGCTTTCGTGAGATATCGCGTTATAAACGAAAGTGTCTAACTGTCAAACAAACAAACTAGATTTCGGTTGGAAACCGAAGACTTATCGATCGACGGTTAGGGGATCCCCCAAAACAGTGGTCTTACTCCATAGTGACACCGTGTGTCCCATCACTAATTAATTAACAACTCGCAAATTCATCCAAAATCAGAAGGATTCTGATCCGAGCTAAGATGAATGCACATGCAAAGTTTGGAGCAGATTGAACGCTTTCGTGAGATATCGCGTGCATCTAACACACAGACAAATACCTATCAACATACCTACCGATCAACATCGATAAGTAACGAGATAGCGATCGGAGACCGCATGTTCAATATTTTACTCGACAATGTTGACGGAGTACGATTTCACATGACAAATACATATCAACATACTTACCGATCGAGTTCGATCGACGAAAGTTAGGGGATCCCCCAAAACAGAAACTGCGGTTTCGATTCCTCCGCTTTGACTCAATAGCGACACAGCGTTTCCTATCATTAATTAAATAATTACTCGCTAATTATGCGACATAATTCATCCGAAATCAATAGGCTTCTGGTCCGGGATATGATGAATGCACATGCAAAATTTGGAGCAGATCCAACAAAAGTGTCTAACAGACAAACATACTTACCGATCGAGATCGATAAGTAAACAACGGCATTAATTTGACGTAGTATATATTTACGATGTGACAACAGTGGTGTCGAAATGTGGCAACAAGGTAAGTAATTCATATATATATATGAAACCGCCTCGCATTTGTTTTCGTTTGTTTCACACTTGACTGATTTTGTGATTTGCGTATTCTGCGATTGCAACATAACCTCACACATTGATGTTGCCATGTTTCTAGTATTGTTTTGTAATTATTTCTAGGTTTGTATTGGGCATATTTAATGCTGCTCAAGTAGGGTTTAGTACTAGTGTAATTTATGATATTTTTCTGATGACAACCTACCCCGATTTGTAGACTGTTAACAAATTAGAACATAGAATTATGCTAATTTTTCCTGTGTTGCTAGGCCAGCTCTCTTTGTGTTGTTGCTTATTTCTGGCAACGCTCGTTCTTTCGCTCGCTGCTTTCTTGGCGGGAATGTTGGCAGTGATTGTCTGCTCTCCAGTTTTGTTAGATTTTTAGTTGTTTGAGGTCTCAGGAACCGGGTTTTTAAGTCATATATTTAGTAAAAGTTACCTTTGAATCTTTCCCAGCTCTATTCGCGTTTAGATGTTCGTTATTCTCAGTAGGCTAGGAAAACAGTTGCAAGTAGTTATTTCATGATATTTTGTGTGTTTATTTGTTAGATCTGATCAAATATAGAGCTAGTTAAAATAATAGCTTCCAGTCAAATAATTGGTTGTTCTTTGAGTTGAAGGCTACATCGTCAAGTAAGTCTTTGATTTATCGTATTTTATGTTTTATTTAGTGATATGAAACTGCAATTTTAAGGTAAACAATTGTGCTGTATTTTTGGCTTTTTCGATTAATTTGTGATTCTAAATTGATAAATATTGTGTTTTTTAAGTGTTAATTAGTTAGATGTTTGGTAAGTTTCATTGTGTGACATATTTTGAGACTGTTTTTCATTTCTGTTTAGAAAACCGTACTTCCGTACTACGTACTTCCGTACTACGTACTTCCGTACTACGTACTTGGTACTATCGTGCTACATTCAATCGTACGTACACTGCATTTTAAACGTACCTTTTTCGTGACAACAAGAAATTTTAAAAGGCAATTTGTACGCGTATTTTTATTGTGGAGTCTCGAAACGATTCAGAGAGCAACCGTCCGTTAACGCGTGTTGGCGCTAGATAGCGACTCCGATTTGGCGCCTACATAAGTTTTTTGACGTTTGCACAAAAGCTGAAAAGAAAATTGGACATTAATTCTGAAGTGGCCTGGTTGAAGTTAAATAAAAATGGCAACGGCTGATGCTCACTTGAATGTCAAGGACAATGGAGATGATTCAACAACAAATGACGGTTCTGCAAAATCAGACGTTCATGAAACAACAATAATTGCAATGTCAGTTGAAACACAACCTAAATCAAGTCTTGCATTGGCAAGTGAAAATGTTGTGAGTGATCATTCTAGTGGTGTGAGTAAAGACTTGTTCCTAAGAATACCTGATGTGGATTCAGTTTCTCACCTAAGTTCGCGAAAGAGCACTCATAAAGAGAAGTCTGTAGCATCTTGTGTTGCTGAAGAAATGTCAACAAACACACACGTAATGACCACAAGATCAAAAGTGAAACAAAAGAAATCAACTGTTTTATCTCGGGATTGTTTGTCAAGAAATTCGAATAGACGAAGCTTGAAAACGTTTCGTAGTGCAAGTTATCGATCAACATCTGTTGTCCAGTCACAAAAATCAGCTTTTAGTGAGTCGCAAATAGAAAACATCTATGAAGCACGAAAAATAAGTCAGCGAAGAAAAACTGAGCTAGAGAAACAACAGCTCGGTAACCGGTTGCAACAAGAAAAAGAAATTTGGGAAGAAAATAACCAAATTGAAGACTTGACACTGGAAAAGGAGTGGCAAGAACTCCTGCAACAACAACAAGTTGAGGAAGAAGAAATAAGAAAAGAAAAACAACGTAAGCGAGAAGCATTTATGCGTCGTCGCCAGGAAATGCAACAAAAAAGAAAGATCGAAAACGTTACATTCGATCGACGTAAACAAAGAACCCTGCAAGAAATTGAAGACAGAAGTCGACGAGAACTGCTGGGATTGGACATGGACTTTAATGAAACTTTAGCAGAAAGTGGGATAATTGTTAATAAATCCCCATCTGCTGTTATTGCTAATGATACTACTAATCAACAATCGACACAAAATTCTGTAACTACACCATCAGAACCTGAACCCGATGTACAAAATGCACCTGTAATGTTACCTGTAACAACTGCACAATTTTCACAACCGCAGTTCACACAAGTCACCAGAACTAATATGTTGAGTACCATGAGTAGGAGGAGGACAATCGTCGGGGAAAATGGTGAGTCGGTTATTCCTGCCTCTGAAATTGAAATTTGCAATCCACAAAATGTTAGTGAGACTATGGGTGGTGATGTTGCAGTTGAGAATGTGTCTCATGTGCCCGAACAAATAATTTGTACTACTGGGTCATTGAATCCCAGAAATGTGTTGAATGTTAGTTCAGGAGTGGCTACTACCTGTTCTTATATGCTGAATGATAGTACCGTAGCTCCCCGGGTGAGTGTGAGTGCGTGTACTATGAACAATGTGACTCGAATACCTGAAATGAGTGTGAGTTTACCATTCACCTCACCTATTTCAAATGCTAGTCAGATTCCAATCTATACTGCTCCTAAAGCAAGTTCTGTACCGGTAGTGACTATGTCAAATAATGTCCTTTTGACAGGTGTGACCCAAATGCCTGTTATGCCTAATCAAGTTTTGTCATACCCTCAAATAATTTATGTACCCCAACCTCAGTTTGGTTTACCACCTTCGGAACCCCCTACTTTTTCTGGAGATGCTGCGGAGTACAGATATTTTTTGGATATATTTGACACTGTAATTGGAAGTAGAGTTCAAAGCCCTAAAGAAAAAATGGTGTATTTGCTTAAATATACAAAGGGTCCTGCTCATGCACTGGTCAAAGGTTGCCAGCATCGTGGATCTGAATGTTATAATGAAGCAATTCAGTTGCTTGATGAAACATATGGACGAAAATATCAAATAGGTGAAGCTTGTATAAATTCAGTTTCCTGTGGTCCTAATTTAAAATTGGCTGATAAAGATGCCCTAACAATGTTTGCCGCAGAGCTGATGTCCTGCATGAATACATTGATAGGAATTGAATATAATAATGTATCCATTATGACAATTGATAAGATGGCCATGAGAATGCCTCATTCTTGGAGGGCAGGGTGGCTGTCTGTAGTTGATGACGTTTTAAAATGAAAGAAGGTGAATTTAACAGTTGAAGCATTTGGCGAATTATGTTCGAAAACAAACTCGTGAAAAACACGAATCTGCCTTCTAATGATTCGAACTCACCTCCAAAGCAATCGAACCCTGTGAAAGGTCTGAAACCCTATAGATCAACATTTGCTACATCAGTTGTTGATAGGCCTGTACGAAAATGTGTTAAATGCAATAAAGATCATTTTTTGAATCAGTGTGTTAAATTTCGTGAATTGAGCTATGAAGATAAAATTGAGTTTGTCAGGAACCGAAAGCTTTGTTTTTCATGCCTCGAACCTGGTCACTGGAGCAAAGACTGTAAGCGAACAAAGCCTTGTAAGGTTGAAGGATGCAAGAGAAGACATACAACGGTTCTTCATCCTCCAGACAAAATCCAAATTAATCATTCTGGGACAAAAGGTGATGAATCTCCTGTTTTGAAAATTTTGGCTCTTAAACACCTGAAACTGAAACCAAATTCAATGCTTTTGTTAATACATCTAAAAATGAAAAGGTTTTGCTCAATGTGATTCCTGTTAAAGTACGTGTTAATGGTGACAAAAATGCTATTGTGACAAACGCATTTTTTGATAATGGTTCCACTTGCTCATTCATAAGTGAGTCTCTTATGCGCAAGTTAAATGTTGATGGTCTCAAGATAAATTTGAATGTTCGTACAATAAATAATGAAACTGAAAGTAAACAAAGTATCATTGTGAAAGGTCTTGAAATTTCGGACTTTGATGAATCTGAACCCTCATGACTATTTTGCATCTAAGACTGTTGCTGGATGGATGATTAGTTGTCCACCTAAGAAGAATGACAATCAAGGTAATCCATGTAATTATTTTTGTGAAAAAATGAAGTGGCATCCATTGTGTCAAATGTGCACGGATGTCATTGATTCGGCTAATAATGAAAAGAAGAAATCTTCTCCTCGACAACAAATGTTCCTTGATAGGGTGAGCGAATCTATTAAGTGTGAAAGATGACGGACACTATGAAATTGATTTGCCATTTATAAATCCAAATTCGAAATACCTTCAAATTATTTGCAAGTGGAAACAGCGAACCGAATCGCTCAAGCGTCGATTTATTAGGGATCCAAATTTTTATTCCGAATATAAAGATTTTGTGGAAATATGTTAACTATGGGCTATGCAGAAGAAGTTTATGATTCTACTGAAAGTGAAGGTCAAATTTGGTATATTAATCATCATGGCGTTCATCACCCTGAAAAGAAGAAAATTCGTGTAGTATTTGACTGCTCATCTAAATTTCAAGGAATCTGCCTTAACGACGTTCTGTTACAGGGGCCGGACCTGGCCAATAACTTGGTTGGTGTTCTGTCAAGGTTTCGCAAAAATGTGGTTGCTGTACAGGGAGATATTCGCTCAATGTTTTTACAAGTGAAGGTACCCGAAAAACACAGAAATTATCTTAGATTTTTCTGGTGGGAAGACAGCGACATAAATAAACCCATGAAAGAATTTCGCATGACAGCTTATCCATTTGGAACGGTTTGCAGCCCAAGTTGCTGTAATTATGCATTGAAACAAGCTGCCGAAGACAATAAACATGATTTTGATATAAGTGTCATAAATGCAATTAACGATTCATTCTATGTGGATGATTTTTTCGATTCAAGACCAAATGCCGAAAGTGCCGTTTCTCTTGTGAAAAATATTTCTGCTGTCTGCGCAAAAGGCGGATTTGAAGTTTTAAAAATGGATCAGTAATGATCGCAATGTTATTGCCGAAATTCCTGAAGATATGAGATCAAAGAATTGAAAAATTTAAATTTAGCTGTTGACGCTTTACCTCTTGAACATGCTCTAGGTATGATTCGGAGTGTTGATGAAGACATCTTGTGTTTCTCTGTTAATCCTAAAGAGAGACCTTGTAATAGACGTGCATGTTAAGTGTCGTGGAATTCTATTTTTTGACCCAATGGGCCTGGTACAACCAGTGCTTCAGCCTGTGAAGGTTCTAATGCAAATGCTTTGCAGACAGAAGTTCAGTTGGATGACCCAATACCGCCGGGAGTTGAACAAGAATGGCTAAAATGGCTTTCTGAGTTGCCTAAACTGAAGGAATTTAATGTACCAAGATGTTTTTGTACCCGTGGATTACGGTGAAGTTGTAGAAACTCAAATTCATCATTTTTCGGATGCGTCTGAAAAATCATATGGCGCTGTGTTATTAATCTCAGGATGTTGAATTCATCTGGACAAATACACTGTGTGTTACTTTGTGGAAAATCTAGGCTAGTACCATTGAAAGGCTCGACAATACCTAGACTCGAACTGTGTGCAGCAACTATTTCTGCGCGCAATGATAAAATTTTTCAGAAATGAGCTTAAAATTGAAATTTCTGCATCTTATTTTTGGACAGATAGTACGACGGTGTTACGCTATTTGGCTAATGAGGATAGAGTATTTAAAACTTTTGTTGCTAACAGAGTAAATCTAATCAAGGAAATTTCTGAAATTAACCAATGGTATTATGTGCCATCTAAATTGAATCCGGCTGATGTTGCCTCCAGAGGTATGTCAGTGGATGCTTTCCTGAATTATCCGGAATGGAAATCTGGTCCAAGTTTTTTATGGAAATGTCATGATGAGTGGCCTGAACAACCTGATTTCTTACATTCTGTGTCTGATGGAAATTAAGAAAGAATTGCCTGAAAAATGTTTTGCTGCTGTGAAAGATCAACCATGTGTTCTTGATGATGTCGTTGCTAAATGTTCAAATTGGTATCACTTGAGGAAGGTAGTTGCTTGGATGTTACGTTACATAAACAAATTAAAGTCAATTGTGGGATCAAACTGCAATTTAAATCTGGACCTGTTGAATCTTTAACTGTAGAAGAAATGATTCTGGCTGAGGTGGAAATTATAAAGCATGAACAAAGAAAATACTTTTCAAAAGAAATTGATGTTTTGTTCAAAGGAAAACAAATTCCAAAATCAAGCTCTTTATGTAATTTACAACCATTCTTGGAAAACGGACTACTTCGTGTAGGAGGTAGGATCAGAGCAGCAAATGTTGAGTTTAATGCAAAGCATCCAATTATTATCCCAAAAGAAAGTAAAATTGCTTCTTTGATAATAGATTATGTCCACAGAACAACTGGTCATAACGGTCGTGAATATGTGTTAGCTGAAATAAATCAAAAGTATTGGATCGTAAAAGGTAATGCTTTGGTGCGAAGTGTTTTGAGAGGATGTGTTCCTTGCAGGAAGAGACAACGTCCTCCTGAATCTCAATTAATGGCGGACTTACCTGAGAATCGCTTGATACCGGATAAACCTCCTTTCACATATGTTGCAGTGGATTGTTTCGGTCCATTCTTGATCAAGCAAGGAAGGAGCGAGGTTAAACGTTATGGTGTGCTTTTTACTTGTTTAGTGTCGCGCGCTGTACATGTGGAAATAGCAAACAGTCTGGACACTAGTGCTTTCATTATGTCTCTTAGAAGATTCATAGCAAGGAGAGGTCAAGTTATTGAGATGCGATCTGATAATGGCACTAACTTCGTCTCTGGTGAACGAGAACTCAGAGATGCGATTAAATCTTGGAACAAAAACCAAATTCATGATTATTTGTTACAGAAAAACATCAAATGGATATTTCAAACGCCTGCTTCATCTCATCATGGTGGTGTGTTTGAGAGACAGATTAGAACTATAAGGAAAATCTTTAATGCTATTTGCTGTGAACAAGTGTTGACAGATGAGAGTTTAAGAACTCTTATGTGCGAATGCGAAAATATTGTGAATGGACGACCGATAACTACGGTATCGAACGACCCTAAAGATTTAACTCCATTAAGTCCAAACAATTTATTACTGATGAAAGAGGAACCAATGCTTCCTCCAGGTGTGTTTGACCCCAAGGACATGTATGTTCGAAAGCGTTGGAAGCAAGTCCAATATCTTGCGGATGTTTTCTGGAAACGTTGGAGAAAGGAATTCCTTCCGCTTCTTCAATGTCGACAAAAATGGAACAAAGTGCAACGAGATCTTCAAAAGGATGACATTGTACTTGTTGTGAATGAGAATCAACCACGAAACACTTGGTTGCTGGGACGAGTCATTGAAACTTACCAGGATAGCAAGGGTAGGGTTCGTTCCGTGGGTGTTCAAACCAAACATTCCATATTCCAACGCCCTGTGACAAAACTTGTACTTCTGCGTGAGTGTGATGAAGCATGATTTGATAACTTTTCAATTTCGTTTTAAAGAATTTCTTTCTGGCATGGTTGTTGAGTGTGTTTGATGTGTTTTGAGTGTGTGGAAATCTTGTAAATTTGTGGATGCAAATTTTAAATTTCCAAGGGGCCGGGATGAAACCGCCTCGCATTTGTTTTCGTTTATTTCACACTTGACTGATTTTGTGATTTGCGTATTCTGCGATTGCAACATAACCTCACACATTGATGTTGCCATGTTTCTAGTATTGTTTTGTAATTATTTCTAGGTTTGTATTGGGCATATTAATGCTGCTCAAGTAGGGTTTAGTACTAGTGTAATTTATGATATTTTTCTGATGACAACCTACCCCGATTTGCAGACTGTTAACAAATTAGAACATAGAATTATGCTAATTTGTCCTGTGTTGCTAGGCCAGCTCTCTTTGTGTTGTTGCTTATTTCTGGCAACGCTCGTTCTTTCGCTCGCTGCTTTCTGGGCGGGAATGTTGGCAGTGATTGTCTGCTCTCCAGTTTTGTTAGATTTTTAGTTGTTTGAGGTCTCAGGAACCGGGTTTTTTAAGTCATATATTTAGTAAAAGTTACCTTTGAATCTTTCCCAGCTCTATTTCGCGTTTAGATGTTCGTTATTCTCAGTAGGCTAGGAAAACAGTTGCAAGTAGTTATTTCATGATATTTTGTGTGTTTATTTGTTAGATCTGATCAAATATAGAGCTAGTTAAAATAATAGCTTCCAGTCAAATAATTGGTTGTTCTTTGAGTTGAAGGCTACATCGTCAAGTAAGTCTTTGATTTATCGTATTTTATGTTTTATTTAGTGATATGAAACTGCAATTTTAAGGTAAACAATTGTGCTGTATTTTTAACTTTTTCGATTAATTTATGATTCTAAATTGATAAATATTGTGTTTTTTAAGTGTTAATTAGTTAGATGTTTGGTAAGTTTTATTGTGTGACATATTTTGAGACTGTTTTTCATTTCTGTTTAGAAAACCGTACTTCCGTACTACGTACTTGGTACTATCGTGCTACATTCAATCGTACGTACACTGCATTTTAAACGTACCTTTTTCGTGACAACAAGAAATTTCAAAAGGCAATTTGTACGCGTATTTTTATTGTGGAGTCTCGAAACGATTCAGAGAGCAACCGTCCGTTAACGCGTGTTGGCGCTAGATAGCGACTCCGATTTGGCGCCTACAATATATAAATATCTAAGTTCAACAGATAATGCCATATTTCAAATATAAAGCAGCAAATACATCCGAGTCAATAAATAAAGTAAATTTAATTTATTCAGGAACATAATCGGTAAGTAACAAGTTTTTTTGTTGTGATATTTATTTATTGTGAGGCTCCGTTAATAATAGTTGCTTTTTCCGTTAATAATAGAACCCTTGCTCCAGGGGATTTTTTCTAGGTTAGATATTGAGTAGCTTATACATGAATATATATATTCGAATAAGTAAACATGGACAAATTTTGTTCAGATTGAATATCCAGACTAAGATATATAATCGAGGTAATTGAGTAAAATTTGGACTTTCATTATATTAACTCCTAGACCGTGATGTGCTCCATCGTAACTATGAACTCCTGATGTAAGGCTGGAGAAATCAAGTACAGGGATGCTATGAGCATCGCAATATACTTTCATTTCTCTAGAAAATTGTTTACAAACAATATCGCCGTTTGCTGCATGATATGATTTTGGTTTTAATATTCCATTAGAGTCAGGATACATAAAAATGATATGTGGCCATCGATGAATCTTTTTAAATATATTCGAGGGTTCAACCGTCGTGTTGTCAAAATCTTTATAGAAATCATCCAAATGTTGAATCACGGGACTCAAAAATTTTTTAATAGTCACTTCAGATTTGCATCCATCGTGTCCACCCTGACCAACCAGCAAAACTGAACCAACTTTTCCTGTTAAACTTTTAACTAAATTCAAAAACCCGTTTGCATATGCATAATTGTACCAATTATTGAGAGTAACCAGTGGTGTCTGGCTTCCACAAAAAGGAGTTTTATCTACGAGATTTTTGAGTATTTCTCCCCCGTCAATTCTACATTCTGTCCAATATAACTGGTCAGCGCCAACACATAGTTTGGTGAATTTTTTATCATACCGTGCCAGTAAAAATCCATACGTTGGATCGGACCTTAAAGTCAAAACAAAACCTCTCGCCATTTTTCTCACAAAAGAATCACCAACAAAAAATATTTGAGAGAACCGATTGACAACTTCACAAGCTTGAGTTGCTGTGTAGTTTCGTCGTCGACATGAAGAATCAAATGGAATCCATTCACTTATTTCAGCGTGATATATCTTCCTGGTATCAACGCAACTGAAAGGTAAGAATTACAATTACTTAATCATTACGAACACGGCAGTAATTAACCGTTTGTAAAAGGATTTTTATTCTCCAACAAAAAGTTGCACAATAAACAAGATTTACAGCAGCAACAACAATAAAGATTTAGGGGAGCGGTCTATATGGACCCTATTTGTGCAACTAGCACTCAACCTTCGAGACGCTAGTAAAGTCTATATATACTGATCATCCGAGTCTGTACTAAGTCTTGTCAAAAATGTATCCCTCTTCATGAATGCGTAACACGTATGCAATAACTAATTGCAAATATCAATGATCCACATTCTCTGCCGCAGAGTCATTTTTACTGACCCACGTACTGATGCGGTACTGAATTGGTTCAATCTAATTGCTATTTTTCATTGTCGCCGACAGACGACGCTTTAAGCATCTTTCGCAAGTTGCGTTCTCCGGTGTTCGTGTCAGGCTGGTGAACCATGGTCATATTTCAGATAACTATACCAATTAATAATACAAGAGAGCTATGCTCGAATATATGGACACGAAAAATCCATCTTTAACCACTGAAAATTTCAAAGCAATTAGTCAAGAGAGGGAATAGGGGGTGTGCATTTCCAATACGTCGATATTATCTTTGTCGACCAATTTGCGACCACCGTGTTTTTGTCTGTTTGATTGCTGTGATGCGGTGCTTTGTTTATAATTTGACGAGTTTTGTTCGAAATATAGAAATAACCGTGTTTTTAAAATGTATGAAGGTCAGAAATGCAATTCTCGACGCAGCAGAAACGATGTTCATGGCTTTAAATCCGTGGTCGCACACTGGTCGGTCGCAAATACGCCTTCTGAGTGTCGTACTTTGGTGGTTTGTATAGCTTTAACCCCTGGCCGTAGAAAGGTAATTCGAGGTTTAGCGTGTAGAATAAATGCCAATGCACCTACGGTGAAAAAATTAACGGGTTAGAAAAAATATTGGTTTTTGTTTTATAGAGGTTTGAATGAAATTGTCCGCAGACTGGCTACACCACCCTAGTTTTTGTCCGAAGTAGGCAAATCTGGTAAATGAAATTCATTTCATTACAAGACTACCGGGACCGGTACCAGGCATTCTGACATTTGATTGATTTGCACATACTGACATAACACAGTATCAGCATTTGCAAATTTATAACTGTATGATATAAATATTTATCCAGTTCAAAATTTTGTCAGGCAAGGATACCGTTATGCCAATTTTAGTTTTTTTCCGAAGTAGGCAAATATGGTGAATGAAATTAATTTCACTACCGCTACCAGGCATTCTGACATTTGGGTCTCATGTAGTTAGGTACGAAACTACATGAGACCCCGACATTTCATATATTCCAGTGTTCGGATACCGGTACAAATTTTGGTATTTGTGCGAAGTAGCCAAACCTGGTATGGAAATTCATTTCACTACCGGTACCAGGCATTCTGACATATGATATATTCCAGTGTTCGGCACTTACCGGTACCGGGTAACAGCCTACGGTGACACCATTTTTCAATAAGCTGGAAACCGCATACCGGCATTACTGTATCCGTCAATTAGCTAAGAAGTAATCGCAAACTGTTGCATTGCGGGTACTGAAAACCCCAAACATCTCCATTCCCCATAAACAACTCTTACCGGTAGCGCTGTAGCGGAGCAAGATTTACGTTTGCTTCTCAGCTGAAATGCTTTCGCCGCAATCGCCACGAGGGGTCGCTAATTTTTAATCTGATCACCTTTTCGAACACAAAAAACGAATCTCTTGAAGTCCACAGAAAATTTTAAAATGATTAAAAGTAATTGCCTTCTGAAGAAAAATTTTATCTTCAACCACTGAAAATTTCAAGGTAATTTGTCCAGTATTCGAAGAGAAAAGCGATTTCTTCAAAACGTGTCAAACAACAAGACCAACATAATATTGGAACGATCATTATGTCCATTTCGTGTCCAATAAAGCGAATTCATCATTTCCTTGCATGAGACAAAAAAATAGTGTATACAGTAGCCGTACAAATGGATTGCGACCTCGAAAGGTTAATGTGCTAAAAATTTATTTAATGCGCATGATTTAAAAATAAATTGGCCCGGCGAGGGTTAAAGCTCAATACTGAGTTGACTAACAACCAACTCTCAGCTCTCGCGTCCGAGTAATAATATATTTGCAGTAAAAATGTAGTTTCCACTGTCCACATTCACACCAAAGACTTTGTATATTATTCCTCGGAATATCCTGTGTGGGAGGTTTACGGCAACTCGTCTGTCACTGTGGCTTATTGACATCACATCGTTTGGATTTAGTGGAATTAGTTGAAACATTTACTGAAAACACGCTTGATTGTAACCCATAAATATGTGAATTGCATGAAAAATTTTCATTTGTTGTTGTTTACTATCGGTAGCGTTTTATTCGAATAGTATTGTGATGTAATATTGAATATTTATAAACCGGGTTCATTTAGTACCGCGTTTTTTCTAACTGGGGAAGAATTTATTCTCAGGAGTGAATTTTGTCATTCTTGGGAACCACTGATCTGGTAGCTACTAGCTACACGTTGAAGCAGTGATTCTCAATCTGATGATTCAATGATCCGTAGCCGCCTTCAAAATATTCTTAACACTTGTGACCCATAATCTTCTACAAAAATACATAGCTTTGCTTGCAAAGCGTTTCCATAAATTATTTTAAGCTCAACAGAACAAACGCGGTCAGTCAAGGAATTAAACAATTTACAGTCAATTTACTTTATATTTATGTAGTCCGCGCGAATGGTACATAATAAAAGTTTTTACTCGGGGCCCACAAAGAAACTCTCCGGGGTCCCCAAGTTTTGCGCCAGATTGTTGAATAAAAACTGGAAGAATAATTGATTTTTACCCATTTTTAAACGAAGTATTGATTATCCTTTGAAACTACTATGTCTGAACATGCCATATATAATATAAGTTATAGTTTGAAAAGAATGGGAAAAATAGAGCACTCACTTGGGACAATCACATATGCTTCCACAACTACCATCATTCATGTCACTGCAACAAGGTCTCTCACTTTTCGCATCACACCAACTTCCTGCAGGAGCCGCCCAAGCATTTCCTTCTGGCTTCGTCTGCACGCTGTAAATTGGATGTAACGTTATGGTACTATACTGATTTTTGACCAATGTTCCCTCTAATTTTTTGTAGTATGTGTGCGCAGAAATTTTTGTGTGTGCGCACTTTTTTGTAAATGACTAATATTTGTGCAAAAACCAATGAAAAAATTTTGGCGTTCTAACCGGGTGATAAGTGGGCCAACAACAAACTTTCTCAACCTGCCAACCGAGAACATCGTTACATTACATCGAAATACGCCTATGCGCAGTAAATCAATGCGTGTGCGCAGCCTCTGAAAGATGTGTGCGCGCGCACACGCGCACACCTTAGAGGGAACACTGTTTTTGACCATTTATTTTTTTATTCGGGTTCTTGTGTGCTATGCTCAGAAAGCCTGAAAAATCATATGACACCGTGTGTTTTGTAAAATATTTTGAATGGTTTGTCTTGTCTTCGTATTTTTAGATTATCAACAAAATTATATTATGAGTCTAACATTAACAAACCTTTGCGATATTATACATGTTACGAGATATCTTTAAGGACATAAATCGATCAAAAATTGTGTGGCATTTTCAAAAACATTCAAAATATAGTATGAACAAAAGACTTTATAATTATAGACAACTGAGCCATGGTTAAAAAATTAAATGATTTACAATCAATTCTAAAATCCTGAACACAAATTCTTTTAATTATGTACATTGTACAACATGAACAAAATCATAAATGTTGATTACAACGTATTATAGGCCGCTGATTACATACAATCTGGGAAACATCACGTGCAATCTAGAAAACAAGTTAGCAGTTTTTTTTAAATCATTGGATTGTTCAAACTACTGAACTGCTAAGTGCATGGATATCGAGTATATATAGAGAAACAAAAGAATGAGATGCGCAAAAGATATTTGCTAATTCTGGTGCCATGGGTTGACTTTCAAAAAACAGGCTTAGAAATGGAACTCATAACCAACAATCACGAGACTCAATGAAATGAGTGAAACTACTGTATTGTACAGTGAAATGTGAAAATAGCAGCTAATAAAATCATAATTATGTTTGAATTATTCATACTTCAACTTTTTGTTGTCATGCTCGTATACGCGTTATTAATATCACAATACGGTATTTTTGTTTTGTAACGCATAAAATATTATTGTGCTCTCATAAAACAAGAGAGCAATGCTCAAATATATACCCACGCGGAGCAATTCCCCGAAAATCATATGCGGTACTTGGAATTTCATAGCATTGTAAGTCCTGTGACGATGATACATTCTTCTTGATTAGGTTTAAACATAAATAAAAATATCACGTGATCTGAGTCACTTCTGTACTACCAGAGCAGGTACCTCATTTCATCAAGGAAATTCTAGTTTTTCAGTAGCAGGAATTTTGCAGAATCGAAACGTACGTCCAGTCTTTACGCGGACTAAAATCCGTGTTCCCGTGGATAAAAAATACAAATAAATTTTGGGCGAAATAACAAATTTAATAGAATTCATACAAAATTTAGAAAAAAAACGTGTCAAAAAACAAGAACAACAACATAATATTGAAACGATTGCTATGTCCACTACGTATCCAATTTCGTTGAAACTCTTTTAACATAATAGTCCGATGCTATGATATCATAACCACGGTTTTAGTACAAAATTATTGATTTCAAATCTGCTTGAATCAGTTTTGAAACGTAATGTAAACACTAAATTAACATCCCGATGGCGCGGCAGAATTGTCTACAGACACGATGAGGGTACCGTAATGCACATCTTAAAATAACTATTTCACCTCGAATTCAGGTTCAAAACCTGCCTGAACAAAACCTCTACGTCTCGACTTATAGATATATTTCGTATATCCCAAAAATTCGGTCTGGTAGTGAATAATTGTGGAAAATATCGAAACGCCGCTTTAGTTCAAATCTTCTATATATTTACCAAAACATTCTTACAGAGTTCCAACAGTTTTTGTCATTTTTTGTGGGCATTCTATGTATACTCAGGGTATTATATTAACAGGTTATGTTATTTGAAAGAGAATATTTACTTGTTAAATCCACATTTGTTATCATCTCTCCACAGTCGTGTATGTATTCCACGATTTATACGAAATTCAGTCAATGAAGAATCCAATTCCTCTTCTTCTTTCAGTAATTTCACATATTCGTTTTCATTTTTATTAAAACTATTAATCTTTTTCACCCACTGACCATTGCTCAAATTATACAAGATGTTTTCACAAAATGGGTTACGATATCTCAATTCGCTCGATGTTGCGTGAAGACTGCTGTTGTAACTTTGGTGAAGCGATACGTGAATTTCAGGATTACCAGGACACTTATAAGATGCGTATATAACAAGTAATACAATACAGAAAGCACATATTCCTATATAAACAGGGCTATTTGAAGTAGTACGCATTGTATAGCCTGAAGTAATAAAAGCAGTTGATGACTCCCCACAAAAATGTTTTGCTTCTCTTTTTTTATCATCAAAAAAAATACTTATCTATTATTTAAACTTGAATGCTAGAGATTGGTAAAATAATCAAAACAACATCGAATCAAAACTTGATACTATTTCAGGTTGAGCACGGCTACGGAAATGCTCACAGCTTCCCAGCAATCCTATTCTTTGTCTTATGCGGAGGGGCATATTTATAACCGTTTAGAGAAACGGTTGATTTCAAATCGGTGAATGGCCGAAATCTATTCATCACGATGCCTATTATCTTTGTCATTATTAAGAAGGTCTTTACAGTCATTGTTCTAATTATACCAGATCGATCACTGACCATACATGATACATTCTATTGTCACCCATTGTTTTTCAAAGTAATTTGAGCTTGCTACTTTTTTTGAATCTTAAGAATATTTATCGCAATAACTTTCAACGGTAGCTTGATATTACAGTTACAGTTTCTACAGTTTCTATTACAAAAGTCTATCTGCCGAATTTTATTTTCCTTGATTATTTAAAACTTCCTAAAAAAAAATCATGAAATAAATTGCTGTTATTAACTGGAGTTTTTACAATACACAGGGCCGACTTTATTGTGTTTTATGTAGTTCTTTGATGACAAATGAAGAAGACGAGAGTGTTTCATGAATTGAAGGAGTATTCTAGAATGCTCTTCGAGGTTATACTATGAAATGATTTTGACTCTGGAAAGTCGGAAAATTTTCAAAATGCAACGTCCAGATAGATCTCTTGCTTAAGTTAAGCTCGCCAATAAATAAACAAAGCGTATGTATCACACCGTATTTATAGTTTGTTTCGATGAAAAAGCCGCGAAAAAATGTTTTTCTGAATTTTTCGAAACTGGTAAGAGCATACTAACTGTGGTGGCACGGTGGTAACTTCAGTTCCTAGTGAACGCGTTTTACTCTCAAGTATGTCGGATTGGTGAAGTCGCGTACATCTGCAGCACGTCGAAATAATAATGTTTTTGAATCGCAATGTTAAATATGTATAAGGTAATACATTATTTTTATCCCTGGGAAAGAAAAACCGATGATTTGGCTTAATCATATGGCGCACCGTAGTCTCTTGCCCGATTACCGGTCCATGTCGAGTATGGGATTAGTTAGCCAGGCATTTGTTTCAGATGCATGGACTTGATGGTGGGAAAAGCCGTAACGGAACAGAGGTTACCTGAAACACCCTGCGACAGTGAGGAGTCTGGCAATCCTCTCCCACATAAATATTCCCCATGGGTTTCGAATCTGCGAAATACATGTGGTGACGCATATATTACGATTGTGAGGTCGTGAGAAATTTTTATATGGCTTCATTACAACTGTTGTTTGTCTTGTTCTATTTTTCAGAGTTGAAGCACAAAATGAAGGCAGATTCCGTCGATGACGAAATTAATATTAAATGTTCATGGCTTACACACTTTGAACTAGAGATGTACCGATGTATCGGTATCGGGTATCGGTAATATTGGCCATTTTTCCGATATATTTACCTTTCCGATATATTTACCAATTATCCCTCTACAGTCTACGCAGATATTAATTTTAATGTTTAACTATACAATTTCTTTATAGATATATTGACATGACCACCTAGACCAATTGTTCTCAACCTTCTATGGTTCGTGGCCCCCTTCCTGCGCCTTTTTGCTCTCGTGGCCCCTGTACGTCCAAAAACTAAACGTGTTGGATTGCATGTTTTACGACTATTTATGGAAAGCAAAAACAAACCACAGACAAGAAAGGCCAAACTTTTTAGTATACAACGAATGTGTATCTTGCGCTTTGGATTGTCTGACGAGGTTCCTAATTCTGGGGACCATCATTGATATAGCCAGACGAATGTCACTGTCAAACTTGAGACGATTTTGATGCTAACAAGATCAGAAAAACCAGATTCGCACAAAGGTTGTGACAAAGTCTTCCACCTGCGTATGATTTTTGTCACTTCACTTTTGGAGTTTAGGTGAACGTAATGATTCACTGCTCAGTACATACAAGTAATGCAGGTATAGAACACATTCTCTGTCGTCTCGAGTTACTTTGGTAAAGCCAACGTAATTGTCGTTCCATTTTCGTATTTTAGGCATTATGAATTTACATATGGGATATTGCATCTATAATGAGATAGCGAAAGTTATCTTGCAGTCTAGTGAAACCGCCCGGCTGCAAGTTAGACGGCCTATCACTATCAGCGAACTGTTTTGATTGGTGGATTCCAAATTCCATTATGATCAAACAATTCACGCACAAGAAAGTGTTTACACCCAGTGATCGCAAATAACCTAGTTAGATAATAAAAATGCGGTGAACGCCAAACAGGGATTTTGATTTTGGAAGGAAATTATGCAAACGAAGTCGGCTTATGACCAATTATTAGACTTGTATCGTGGACCCCCTGAAACTGATTTGTGGCCCTTTGGGGGCCCCCGGCCCCCGGTTGAGAACCACTGACCTAGACTGTCTCAAAATATATGATAGCAATTGTAAAATATTATAAAATAGTAAAGTGAAAAAACATCCTCGACGGTTATAGGTAGGCCTTCTTTTTGTCGGTGCTGATTGATATTTTTTTTCATGTTGGCTTTGATTTATTGCGTCGACGATTACGATTAGCCACGAAATAAAATATTTATAAAAAGCTTTCAATTTGAAAATAGGACGGCGGCGCTAGAATGCGTGGGTGATATTCGATATTCTTTTAAACACGAATAACGATATATATTCGAAGGTCGCGATATTAAAATTAAATTCTTATTCGACATCCCGGCTCATGAGTTTTCTAATTGAACACCGAGATTACTAGCGTTACTGTACAATGTATCTTAATCAGTTAAAGCAAACACCAAACATTAATCTCATATAATGTTAAATATCTTTTTTTTCGATCTGAAATAATGTGTACTATGAACAACGCTCAATAATCATTGTTTTAACCCGTCTGCCTTACACAGCACACCTAATTAAGTAATAATTACATAGTATCGGTATTGGAATATCGGTAATATCGGCCTTTTTATAGTATCGGCGTTTTTAGCTAGTATCGGATCGGTATCGGTAACAAAGGGGGTATCGGTACATCTCTACTTTGAACATGATTGCTGTGCGCAAACTCGTATTGAATGGCTTAAAACCTACTTATTACTCATCGATCTTGCTCGGTAAATATGTTGATAGGTATTTATCTGTTTGTTTGTTTGTCTGTTAGATACACGCGATATCTCACGGAAGCGTAGTCCCAAGGTTTTCCCATGGAACCCTGAAGCACATGGAGAACATGTGACGCAAATAGACATCTGTTATCCCAGCGACTATCCTTTCAAACCTGTTAGTAACGAATAATTGGATATGACAACAACACAAATCGTTAGTTAACTAACTCACCCATGTTAATTTATATCAGCAGTTCCCAAAGAGGGTGAAAACGCCCCCTTGTGGCGTTTGCGATAACTGGAGGGCCGCTGACGGCGATTTGGGCAATTAGGTGGCGCTGGCTGTCAAACTGGGCGATTGGGGGACACTGACGTCAATTAGGGCAGATGTGATATTATCTGTCAAATTAAATCTACTCTGATGTTTTGGTACAACCTAGTTTGCTCGTGATTTCGGTGTCAGAAGTTTCTCGCTCGACGTAGAATATTATGGCTTTTAAAATCCGCATTGATTTGTATTAATACTAGTCCAGCACATAAAGTACGCTTCCTTCACCATGCTATACCCTATGGTGTCACTCTCAAGCACGTTTTGTTGTTCTGTTTTTATTAAATATAGCTTTAATATAGCTATTTTACTATAAGGTGCTTAAAAGCGGTAGTTTAGGGTCCGATCCAACGTATGGATTTGTACTTGCACAGTATGATAAAAATGTGACTAAACTATGTGTCGGTGTTGATCAATTATATGTAAAACAATGCAGAACTCACGGACTCCTAGATAAAACTCATTTTTGTGGAAGTCAGACACCGCTCGTTATCATCACGACTGTTGACACGACACTTGGATAAATTGAAGAAGATGGCCACCTATCATTTTTATGTATCCTGACTCGAACGGAATATTAAAACCAAAAGCATATCATGCAGCAAACGGTGATATTGTTTGTAAAAAATTTCCCCAAGAAATGAATGTGTATTGCGATGCTCATAATATCCCTGTACTCGATTTCTCCAGTGTTACATAAGGAATTCATAGTTACGATGGAGCACATCACGGTCTAGGGGCAAATATCATGAAAGTCCAAATTTTACTCAATTACCACTTTTCGACGCTACCTACCTGATGTGTCGTTTATTCTATTAATGCCGTAATAACTTTTTTTAATGTTGTTTATTAAATTGGCAGCTTCTGAGTCTGTCAAAACACTGGACTTGAAAAAAGATTTCCTTTACAACAGTACTTTGGTGTCTGACCAATAATTAGCTTCTCCCTCCATTCTTTTATCTTTTGTATTGAAATTGGTAAAAAACAGAAATTTTAAATAGATATATAGAATCATATTCACTACAAAAATCTTTTCATAATAAGCTGCTTTTGAAATTAAGGCTGGCTACTGATAATGAATGTGAAAGATGTTTTTCCAGCATTGAGCTATTGTTTGTTTCATCAGGTATTTTGTTGTCTGTTATTATGATTATGAAATCGGAAATATAATTATTACACCGTCCTTGCCAGAAAACGGACCACGATCTCACGTGTGGCAGGCGATAATTCGACCATAATGATTAACCGAGCAAAGTTACTCAAAAGAGTTTTTTTTTACAATATTGAAGCCAATGGGTCATTTTTCTGTCCTGCGTATTTGCAATATTTCATTGTCTGACTAAATAAATGACATTGGTTTAGCACGGAAAAAGTCAAACTGGCTATGAGAAACCAATGTATTCTTAGATTATTCATCGAAAATAGATTTATTAGGGTTAAAAAAAAAACAGATTATTTGAGTCACGAAAATTTGAAGAAAAAATATTAAAATAGACTTCTGATTAATATATATTTTAATTTTTAATCACTACACATT